CGTGGTTTTTGTATTAGACCCGTCGTCCATTTATTTGTAAGTCAATGATGACGAAGGACGATTTTGTCTCTTAAGTGTCTCGTGATGCCTAACCTCTTGAGTTGATTATGAGCGTCATCCAAACGCCGTTGCAGCTGTTCTGCACGGAGCTCAGCCTCTCTCGCTGCTGTCGTCAGCTTTCGTTCGCCTAACTCGCGACGGATTTGCATTTCTGATAGTTCCTCTTGTTTCGCCTGCAGAAAAATATTTGGTTTAATTATAAATCCCTCGGTTTGTTATAATTATTAATACCATTGATCAATAAGTCTAGAGGATTGCGAATCGACGTAAGACAGCGTAGTTGGGAATTTAGTACCTATTGGTTACACCAGATGGCGGTTTTAAGCTTTCATCGTCATGGGATCCAGTTACCAGCAATTGTAAACGACATCAAGTATCGCCCGACAAGTCGCCGGATGTTGTGAGTGTTGTGTGTCGGTTTAGTGAGAACCCTAGTGCACAAATAAATAATGAAGATCAAGTGCGGGTAGTTAGAAAATGCTGACTGACTCTTCAGTCCCTTCGAGACCATGGACGTTGCAATATGTCTGAAACGTCGAGGTAAATAAAATACGTTTTAAACGTGATTAAGTCCCAAATGAATAATCAAATAATGTGCGAAAATCTCGAAACTTTAAATCGAAGTATTAAGAAAAGGTAGTAATTCTTGAATATATACTCAGTGCCAGATGCCACAGGCGACCAGCCATCCTGACGGTCACGCCATCTATATTTTAAGGCGGAACTTTGACCTATTTCAGAGTTACGATCTGTAGTATGGAGATTAGCAATCTTCTTGAGTTGGTACATACACGTTAATACAAAAATCGATCACATAGAAAAGTACGTAAGGTCTGCTGATTTTTCTTTTTAGTTCCCCATCATTAAAATAAGGCCTTTATATGAAGCATGGGAATTTTTTCTTTTTTTTTTCTGTTATTTTGTAAAAGCTTATATTTTCACCCAGTATAAACTCTTATAACCTTCAATGCTTTACGCAGTTCCTTGATATCAGCTTCCTTGTTCTCCAACTTAATGGTGAGAGTCTTGGTCTCCTCCAGCTGCTTCTTCACCAGTTGAGCTCGTAGTACCACTGGGGGTGTAGGCTGAAAAATTTTAGAAGGCTGGAATATTTATTCTCATACAATGCACCAGTCGAGAACGTTGTACGTCGGCGAATGCATGTCCAATTGCTAACGCTTCCCGCGCTTTATACTGATGTGGATATTTTTGTTTGCGGTATGCTGATGCATTTAATTTATATATATATAATATTCGGAATAAGGTCAATTCGAAGGTGCACCCATACAAACAGTGTTGCAACGTTTGTATGGAATTACCCTACTTGTTTATTTTTCATAATATCAAGTGACGGGATGAACAAGTCGTGCGCCTGATTGTAAGCTACACTCCTGTCCATAACAGTTGCAGTGTCACTCAGAGCTTTAAATCGCAAAAATCTGAGGGGTACTGCCACTGCACCCGTCACCCTGAGACATAAGTTGACAAGTCTCATATGCCTGTAATTTCACCAGCACCCTTACCCTTCAAACCCGGAACACAGTAATGCTCGCATTACTGCTTGGCGGCAGAAATAGGTAAGGTATTCGAGCTCTTCTGCTATATTACATTATGGTAATACGTTACCTTATCTTGATGTACATTAGTAAGCGACATCATGTCGTACTCCTTGTCCTGAGCGACAGTGCAGAGCTTGGTGACGTCAGCAGATACTTGTGAAAGGGAGTGCTTTATCGACTTCACTGGGCCGTGGTCGTCCTTTGAAAGAAATAATAGTGTTGCTTTTAATAGAGACTCAAAATGTTCCAATCACAGTACAATAAATACAGTGAAGTGCTTAGTTTACGTGCTACGTGTGCCTACAGTACACGAAGTTCCACATATTTCCATTTTCGCTTTGTACTTTATGGTCGTGTCAATTATTTCGCGTGAAACCTCAAAAATCGTTGAAAAATGCCTTATTTTGCAACTTTGGAGTGCAAAAATTATAGACGCACCGGTAATGTTATCTATGGTGGTGTTTCATGTCGTTGTTAAGTGTTATTTTATTTAATTTTAAAAAATTTTCAATATTAGACAGATAAAAACTTTATTCAGTTCCATGGCAAATTATCTACACAGGATCCACTAAAGGTAACACCATAATTATTATTATATTGAACCACTTAAAATAACATTTTTTAATAAGAAAAGGAACATATAACTACACAATAACTAATTAAAGTAAATAGTTTTGGAAGTCGTGGTAGTGAAAAGTCGCTGGCTCAGCATAAATGCCGCGGTTTCCCACGACACTGGTGTTCTGCCAGAGCCGTGTTTACAGAAATATTCTGTTTATGGTAATATTTTTTTTAGCAGATACGTAAGTTTAAACCGCTGCAATACGGTCGCATCTTTTTTGAAGAACTAAGTAAATAATTCGAATTTTCCATGCTACTCGTAGTCGATAATCGTTCGTCGTGGTTTAGCTATTGACCGCTAGATGGCAGCACAATAATTGAAATTTCAATATAAAATATTGCACTTTCAACGATATGCCATCAGCGTAAAGTTTAAAGTATATTAACAGTTCAGAATCTGTCAATCATTACCTGTATTTTGACGACAGCGGTTCTGGTAGTAATCGCTGCTTAAAGCATTTCCATTGTTTTATTTTTTCAACATCATTAATGACATATGACCATAAACCGTAACATACCGGGCTTATTATAAAATGTTACAAAAAAAATAGCTTCAACAGGTCACGCTTACACCACAGCCACCATTGCATGATAGTGACCTCATCCATAATAGTGACATACTTGAGAAATTGGCAAAAACAGCTTCGTAGGGGAACAACACACAGCACACTAAAAAATACCTCACACTAAAAAAAACCTATCACAATGTGTTAAGTAACAAGATTTATATAAATAGTCAGTAAGGTTTTATTAAATTTAGTTTATCACTAACAAACTCGTCTCTAACGATGTAACATTCCGCCACTGCTTTTTTTTTGTGGTACCATGTGACTGGACGAACAAGTCGTGCGCCTGGTGGTAAGCGGCACGCCTATCCATAACAGTTGCAATGCCACTCAGAGCTTTAAATCACAAAGATCTGATGGATACTGCCACTGCGCCCCTCACCCTGAGACATAAGTTGACATGTCCCATGTGCCCATAATTTCACCAGCATCCTAACCCATCAAAACCGGAACGCAGTAATGCTCACATTGCTGCTTCGCGGCAGAAATTAGCGCCTTAATGCCAGCGGAGACGGCGCACCCACCTGCTGGAAGACCTTGTCGACGGCGGCGGCCCACAGCGTGTAGAGCGCCGCGTGCGGCAGCGGCGCGCCCTCGCCGCGCTCGCCCGCCGTGGCGGCGCAGGCGGCGGCGCCGCGCGCGCACAGCGACGATGCGCGGGCGCAGCGCCACAGCGCAGCGGCGCTCTCGCCGCGCAGGCGGTCCACCTGCGCGCCGTACATGCACACGTCGACTTTTAGATGGATTATTCAATTTCAATTTTAAAAAAAAGGACTTATGTTCCAAATTATATAGTCCTAATAAGAATTAATATTTTTTTTTACTCTTTCTATTACACATCTTCCTCTTTTTATCCTTTTATTACTACCTCACATTGTTTGAGAAAAATATTATACATGCCTCGGCGGGAACGGGGATTGCTTGACTCGTATTAATACAAGGCCTCGTTGGCGCTCGCCCTTGTAACTCATACTCGTCCAGTAATCCCTTACTTCCCAACCTCTGCAATAATGTACTATATCTTGAAGCACATAGAGAAAATTGTACGGTCTGGCAAAAGTATCTAAACCTGGTGGTAACTGGTAACACTACTTACCATAATGTTAGGCAATACAGCATGTAGCTTCACTCCAGGTGGAAGACGTCGTCGAATGCTCTTCAATTGCTGTTGCAAAGTACTGGTCGAACTTTTTATGTGCTCGTGAAGCTGACCCAGCTCTTGTTGGTGGTCTGAAGACTGGAAGAATTAAAAAAAATATATAAACTACATTATAAGTTAAAGAATATACCTCTTAAACGAGTGAAACTTTTGAAATATTGGGCATTATGTTTCTGAGGACCTCAAAGATATTGAGCGAGAACTTAGGGCGCTAGCGGCTAGGTGCAATATGCTGGCCCACAGGTTCGCGCGTTATAGTAGCGAGGTCAAGATAACGTTATTTAAAGCTTACTGCCAAACGTTCTACAGGAGCGCCCTGGACCAGATATTCCAGAAAAAGAATGGACTCTTTCTTTGTACAGTATAAAAACGGCTTCAGAGTGCTTTTGGGAATACCGCGTCAGTAAAACTAACAAGTGGACCTATGTTGTCTTAAATAAAAAAACTATCTACTACTACTATCTGTATCCCAACTGTTTGCACTGCGGGTACTGGATGAAGAGGAATTGCAGCGAATATTGCCGGACTCGTATAACGACATTTTCAACGAAATTTTTTTATTGACAAAATATCTGGAATCAGCGCAAGGAGATCTACAACCCCCTATAAGCGGTTTTTGTATATCTTATTTAGTTTCAGTTTTATTGTTAAGCAAAATCAGCGCGCAACTGAAATTAAAAAAAGAAACTTTAGATGCCAATATGGCGGAAGTAACCAAACTGCAAAAGCATTATAGTCTGTTCCAATCTGTAGGAAACATACATCGAGTATATAAACAGAAATAGAGAGGAAAAAGGGCCATCCATTACTGGCAACTCATCAAATAAATGGGTCTTAATCACTTTTAAATATCAACTCTCGTTTGCGCTGAAATCACAAATTAGAAAGCTAAAATAGTACAGCGCTAGCAACTGACCTATGTGGACGTCGCCTTATATTCCAAAAATATTCTGTATTTATTGTAATAAAGATAATGTCTCTAACAATGGGGGCTGTTCCATTCGGTGGTGTGGTAAAAACAGTAAAACATCTAATTACAAAACAAACGGACTCACATTTCATCGGTAATTAAATATGTAATTTTGCAATTTTCGTCCATTATAGCAAAGCTCAAGTTAAACTGGTCGATTGACGTGAAACGATTGACAGTTTTCAAACAAATTAAATTATATTTCGTCCACGAAAGTTGAGATACGCTATTTTTAATAAACCGTGTCTTTTTTTTCATAAAAAATAACTTTTTTTTTTCAACTGTCCAGATACCGTGTTTAGCGGTCAACATTCGTAATACACCGGTAAGGTCATTTCAACTCAAGGCCGTATAACCGGAATCCGTCTTTGTTTTTTTGTAGACACATAAAATTTGACGTATTACGCCTAGTAGATAGTATAATGGGTGTTAGCACGGAAGAATTATGTAGTTTGTGGGTGTTAGATTAGCAAATCTCGGGTTTAATTCTTGGCCAGACGAATTTTGAATACAAACTAATATCTCTAAACTATGGGGGGCTGTTCGATTCGGTGGTGTGGGAAAAACAGCAAAACATCTAATTACAAAACAAACGGAATCACATTTCATTGGTAATTAAATATGCAATTTTTTAATTTTCCTCCATTATAGCAAAGCTCAAGTTAGAGTAGTCCATCTGTAGTGAAACAATTGACGACACCCGTCAATTGTTTCGAATTCGGGCTGGCCCATCGGAGCGCAGTTGTCACCGTCATGATTTGGCAGAATACTTTTCAAACAAATGAAATGACATTTCGTCTTTATTTCCGGTTACATTTAGTTTATAGTTTATATTTATTTTATTTGAAAACAAAAAATAAACAAAACTGTTTAGTTAAAATTCTGTAGTGAAGTCGATTTATTGAGTGATTGCACTCAATAAATCGAATAATAAACACTTTCACGTATATTGCGAAGATTTCGACTCGATATATCATCACTTTTTCCAACAATATTCATTTGAATAGCATCGTAAAATCGTATTTGAAAAATTGTATTCGAAAAGTGAGGTTATTTTTCAAATATGACTTCTATGGTTGCCTAATGCTGCACACAAAAAAAACATTGGGTACATTAAATTAAGGTTTTTGTAATTGATTGGTAAATCGAAAATTTCAATCGCAATCGAAATATTTTTTAGGATGCTATTGGGGCTGCCACGATTTTGCAGCGCATCAGGTATGTTCGCGGACGCGCGTATTGATAGCTTCAGCGCGATTATTCAGAAGAGAACCGCCTCCCTGATGCGTCGCGTGCGTGGCAGTTCCAATAGCCTAGTTCGTTTGATCTAGGAGAACCCTGTCAGTGAATTGTGGAAGCACTGGAACTCAGTCCACATGGGTTCCAGGGGTTTAATTTATAAGTTACTGTAATATTTCGCAAATTTAGTACTAACATAGGTTGTAAGAATTTTTTTGTAACTAACACTAATATGGACTATGTCTGAAATAAACTTTTTGAATTTTGAATTTGAATTTGAAAAGGTGTAAGGATTTGAAGGAGGGTTTCATATTGAGATTTCGGAAATTTAAAATATGCTTTTGTAGGTTATGTAAGGAAAATCGCTAGTATGACTCAATTAAACATCCATCACTAAGCCGTCTCCGGACGGGTTAGTGATTTGTTTTATAACTTTAAAATGGATTGAAACGAAGTACAGTTATAACAATGAGAGCAGTATTCTTCAGAATGAAATATGACGTAATGAAGGAACTGACCTGCAGCACATGCTCCAGCGCTGTGGCGTCGGCGTACAGCGCACGCGCAAGCGCGTCGAGCGCGCTGCAGGCGTGCGCCACGCCCTCGCGCGTCACGGCTGCGCCCTCCACGGCCGACAGGTTCAGCGCCGACCACATGGCCGACAGGTACGTCCAGCAACGTTCTATGCCTGGTTATGTGCAGAACCATGGACTAATAACTGAGAGACGAGAGAACTGCTAACCGCGATACAAGACAGCGTATTTAGTACTTTTTGTTTCGTAATATCATCGAGTATATAACCAGAAATAGAGACGAAGTGTCATTTAATTTGTTTGAAAACTATTCTGCCAAATCATTACTGTGACAATGCGCTCCGATTGGCCAGCCCGAATTCGAAACAATTGACGGGTGTCGTCAATAGTTTCACTTCAAATCGACCAGTTAACTTGAGCTTTGTTATAACGGACGAAAATTGCAAAATTACATATTTAATTGCCGATGAAATTTAAACCCGTTTACTTTGTAATTAGATGTTACGGCGACGTACACACAGGTCTACACAACACAGGTACACACAACGGCCCAGATGTACTATTTCAGCTTTCTAATTTGTATTTTCAGTGCAAACGAGAGTTGATATTCATTAGTGATGTATCACTGATGAGTTACCAGGAATGGATGGCTCTTATTTCGTCTCTGTTTCTGGTTATAATTATACTCGGTGTATAATATCAAGTGACGGGACAAACAAGTCGTGCGCCTGATGGTAAGTTACACGCCTGTCCCTAACAGTTGCAGTGCCACTCAGAGCTTTAAATCGCTGAACCTTACCCTTCAAAACCAGAACACAGTAATGCTGACATTACTGCTTGGCAAGGTGGCAATACTTCCCTGGACGAACTCTTTCACAAGGAGGTCCACTGCTACTAATTGGGTTTTGATTGGGTTTTCAGTCAAAGCGGGTTTCAGAAATACGGAATTTGGTATAATTCCATACTTATTACAAATTTCGATGAAAAAAGATCTGTTTTAGGCATTGACTTACAAATAAATGGACGACGGGTCTAATACAAAAACCACGAAAAAAATGTCCCAAGTCAACCTATTTAAACGTAGTGACATGTAAAGGAATATGAAAAAGCTAAAACGTTGAATTTGAATTGTAATGTCATCGCAGTACTGTCTAATTTTGTTTGCTTCGCTGTCAGTCGAACAAACGAAGACTAAAGCGTGAATGACGCTCTGTATACGATTTTAACGCCCTATAAGTTCGGACACTTTTTAGCGCGGACCCGACGTCCATATAATTGTAAGTCAATGGTTTTAGGCGAAAAAGAGGCAAGTCCACACAATAACTACCTTTCAATACTGTGAATTCTCTTGGAAGTAAGTATTCGTTCCAAATAAAACTCTATTACATACCGTCAAGGTTGCAGTTTTCATCCAACTCGTTTCCTTTAAGCAAATGCGCGGCCGCATCTAGCGCTCGTTCCTGCGCAGCCGCATCGGGTAAGGCACTGGCGGCACGCAGTAATGTTTCTGGGGGACAGCTGTCGAGTGCCTCGATCCACATTGACACTATGCACTGGGGGTAAAAGAGAGTTCTTATTGACAACGTGAAAACGAAAGAAATAGCAATATGACCTCGGAGAGAAAGAGACAGCGATATATTGTTATTGCAGTCACAAAACGCCTAGACATTTTACAAAAGCTTTTTGTTTTATTCAAATTGGTTTTTTATTGGCGGTTTGATTATCGGCCTTTTTTATTGGAATTACATCTATTTGCCAAGTTTTATTCAAATCGGGTAACGGAAAGTGGGCAAAACTGGGTTCATCCCCTGAGTTTCTCACCCTTAGAGGTGGAATATTTTCTTCACATTTAAATGGGACCATTATTGAGGTACCCTCTTTCCAACAAAAAAAGAATCATCACAATCGGTTCACAAATTTTAGAGGAGTTATGGCATCGAATTGAGAACCTCCTCCTTTTTTGAAGTCGGTTGATAAATATTTAAAATTATACCCCTTATTCGGTATAAAACATGTAATATATAAGGTGTTATCACTTTTGTGACATAAATACATATATTCGTTGATGATTGGTACCCTATCAAATTCAAATAATTTATTTCGGAATATTACATCCATATTATTATTATACAAAATTTAAAGCGCACACAGACATTACGTTAGATAATTAAATAAAATAAAACAAAATCACGTTCAAACAAAATAAATTAAATCAAATTAAATACAAATGAAATTAAATCAATAAAGAACAATAAAATAAAAACAAACACTAGATTTAATTGCATAATAATAATAATGAATCATGCACTATGCTTTCTTATAACAACTTTTCTAAAGATTTGGACTTATTCTCCCATAGTCGCTATACTTATTTAAATATTTCTAAGGAAAAGCTATTTATGTTGGATATTTAAGAATCTCATTGTTTTTATGTACGTGTAACATGATTTTTGGCTACTGTTTTGAAATGCAATTTTTTTATTATTATGCCCAACCCGAATTGCCTTGAAACGTTAAAACAGTCGGAAAAGACCGCTGATGATGTTAGAGACAAAGGGAAGGATCGTATAATGAAAGAGGATAAGAATGAAAGGTTGCGTGAGCAACAGGACCAGGTGTGTTGACACGCAGTCGAGCTCGTCTGCTTGGGTTTATGCCAGAAGTTGATTAAAGTTAAAGTAGGCTTAATACTCGTATTTCTCTTTGTAATGAGGTACTTAGATTTGTATGTGTAGTTATTAACTGCTATATGTTGGCAAATGTATAACGTCAAATAGGTACTACGAGTATAGTCTAATAATATGTATAGTTAATAAATTAAGTGCACTATTTAGTTAAGTTGTCAAAATTATGAAAAGTATAGTTCTAAAAAAAAATTTAATTAACGTTCGTTGTATCACTTGTTTTATTTTTGCGAAAGAGGATCGTGTAGTATATTTATGAAGGTATTTTTGTGTAAAGTGATATCATTGTATCATTTCGTGTACTGAGGGTGATTTTGAATAAAACAGTGCTTAACCAACATTCGTGTGTTTCACTACATTTAATAGTCTGTTAATTTGTATGTACTTTATTTATTTCACAAATGCTTCTTCAAATTCTGTAGCTATGTCAAAAATAAATAAACAAATTATAAATGTGTAATAATACTAGTACTTTTTAACCGATTTCAAAAACGAGGAGGTTCTCAATTTGACAATATTCTTTTTCATGTATGTTACACGACAACTCTGTGTTATTGGAGTAGTGAACCAATTTTGATGATTCTTTTTTTTGTTGGAAAGAGGGTACCTCAACAATGATCCCATTTAAACTTGAAGAAAATATTCCACCTCTAAGGGTGGCTAACTAGGGGACAAATACGCTTTCGCGCACTTTTCGGTAACCGCTTTCAATAAAACTTGGCAAATATATGTAATTTCACGAACTTTTGAGGTCGGTTTTACGTTTACTAAGATTATTTACATTCAAGTTTAAAGGGACCTTAATTTCTGTTTTAGGCTCTCCTGTAATTTTTTCTCTAAATCGCTTACTAGAGTTTGCTACGGAGCAGCCGCTGCTGCTAATACAATTTACCATACCTGTATCATATGCAGCTGGTACTCCAGCTGGCACCTGAAGCTGTACTGCACAGCCGTATGCGTCTTGGTCACCACTTCTCGATCCCATACATTAACAGCTGGGAATCTGTGGCAAAAATTAAAATATGCGATTGTATACTAATTGTATTATAGTTACATTAATTTTTAACTCCTGATGCAATAAAAGGGACGAACAAGTCTGGTGGTAAGCGACACGCCTGTCCATATGAGTTGCAGTTATTTATATCGCAAAGATCTGAGGAACACTGCTACTGCGTCCGTCACCTTGAGACATAAATTCACAGTTCCATGTTGTATATATATATATATATATATATATATATATATATATATATATA